TTAAGGTGCCTTGAAGTCTTCCAAGGCTGGAGCAGGGAAGTGATGTGGGAACTGACTTTGGAAACACTGCACTCGAGAAGCTTCAGGTGACCTTTCTAAGACACGGAGTGATTACCCCCTGCTCCCGGGTCAGAGCCCTGAGCTTCTCTTCTCAGTTGCTGGGAAGGCTTCTCTGGATCCAAGGGAAGCCTAGGCTCCTTGGTCTTCCTGGGAGTGTGTTGCTAGTTGACAAATGTAGGAAAGGGACATGTTCCATAAAAGGATGCTGAACAAATGTTTTCCGGTAGTGATAGGGCAACCCGAGCCATTTACACTGCCCTTGAGCTTATCTTTGTATTTGTGTGAAAGTGGACAGCACGGGGGAAATAAAGCCATTCGTGTGACTCTTCATAATTTAAGGAAGAGTGGAAGGAATTAGAGTGAAAGATCTTTCAATGTCATGTTCAGAATTGTACCTTTGGCTTGTCCAGACCCGAGGAAGGAACACTGCTATTGGTGCAGGGCTGACAGGGAGACTGACAGCCTTAAGGAAGGAGGAAAGAAGAGAATGCTTTGTAGCGACTAGAGCAGGGAGCTCAGTCCGTGTCCTAGTTCCAGCCAGTCGGCCACGGCCAGCCAAAGGGCAAGAGGGCCATCACCACCCCTGCTGCCAGCCCCCCGTGCCCGGCGCATTGATCCCTTCTTTGTGCCAGCAACCCGAGTATCTCTGGGACACGAAAAGTAGACTCTTCTCTGGGGAGGCTGGGAGCCCTGCTTTGGGACTCCAGGAGGAGCGTCATTTCCTGCCAAATATATTCCAGGACCAGATGGAACATAATTCACAAATCTCCTTTAGAGCCGATTATGGTCATTACAATGATAACTGTAGGGCAGAATTAACAGCATCATGGCTGGCTGTCAGGAGGGTTTTTCTGACAGTGTCAATGGGACAGAGTTTGGTTTTGAAGGGGCCGTGCTCCTGTCGGTGATTTTAGGGATACATAAAGCAGCCTTCTGGAATAGGAACACCGTCTTTAGGGTTAGCTTGTTTGTTTGGGGTTTGTTTTTTTTATTTTTTTTTTTTTTTTTTGGTGTTACAACTCTTGACTTCGGCCTCCTTTTTCTCCTTCTACCAGCGATTCTTCTGCTTGGAAGTGATGCAGTTATGCTATGGGTTTCGACTCTCCTGAGCATGTGGCATAAGTCTTTAGTAGGCTGTCATTACATACCTGGAGCATGACAGTGCTGGTTCTCGACACCAGAACCCAGAGTTCTGGTCTCTGCTCTGGGAGCTGGGAGTCCAAGGGAACAATGAAGCTTGGGTGCCTTTAAGGCCTAAATGAGCCAGAGAGGGCTCATCATTACATTATGGAAAAAGGGCACCAGAGTGTCCCACTTCGATGTTTTTCCAAATGATGGCACCATATGTGGAGGCCCGGTTATATTTTGATTTTTGTTTTGTGGGTTTTTTTTTGTTGTTTTTTTTTTTTTTTTTTGCTTTTTTTTGGAAAGGGGAGAATCCTGGAGCAGGGAGGATGCTTAGTCAGGGAATTCTTCCCCCTGATGTGTGTTTTAAATTGGTATGGATTCAGGTAGACTTGTCTAAGTGTCAAAGACAATATAACCATCAGTCCTCAACCCAGCGACCTGTAAGCATGTCAGCAGCATCTCGGTTTGAACCGGTTTTTGTGTCCAGGGGTCTAGACACATGTCTAACACACGTGTCCACTCACGAGCTAGCACCAGGGTCCCGTCCCCACCGCACCTTTTCCGCACCTCTTGGGAACCTGTTCTATTTTAGTGGTGTGACCTTTCGGGGTAAGTCAACAGAAATAAGTAAAAATCAAATATTAGCCGGGAGAATTAAATATTTACCTAGAGCTGCTTTTACATTTCTTCCGTGATTAACTGCTTTATTCCGGGATGTGTTTTTAGTTAACAGCTGTGCCGTGAACCCTTGTCTTCACGACGGGAAATGCGTCGCAGACCCCACCACCAGCCGTGGGTATCGATGCAGGTGCTCACCCTCCTGGCAAGGGGATGACTGCAGTGTGGGTAAGAGGAAAACTCACCCCCAGCAGTCTGTACCACACTACCTCATTGAGATCAGCAATGACACTATTTCCCTTCAAACTAGAGGAGGGTAGGATTTTTTTTTCTTAATTAATACCCTGCCGATTGGAGAGTCAGCATGCTTATGTGTTGTCTGCAAAGTAAGGTCAGATAGTAACATTGACAAGCCTCCATGATCTGGCTCCATTCTTTGGGCCCCCTACACCCATGCCACACTGGACCATCTACAGCTCCCTAAAGACCCCTCCAGCTTCCCCGCCTCCAGCCTTCACTTCGCTGGTGCCTCAGCCTCCCCACCCACCCATCTGCTTGTTAAAGTCTTTCCAGTCTTAGTTCAGATGTTATTTGCAACAGTCCTTAATTCTCCCTCCCGTCGAAATCTCCCTCTCTCTCTGCACTTTCAAATCCTGGTTTGTATTTATGTCAGCTGTCCACACAGCTGCCTCCACCCTCAACAGACGGGCAGCCCCTGGAGGACAGGGTAGCATCCTTCTCATCTCTGGGCCCCAATGCGCCTAGTGCCATTTGGCTCGTAGGAAGTGCTTACTGGACCGGATAATGATTTTGCGGTCTGCCGCGGATTCAGTATGGCCCTGTTTGCTCTCCTCTGCAGATGTGAATGAGTGTCTCTTGAACCCCTGCCCACCCCTGGCCACGTGCAACAATACTCAGGGATCCTTCACCTGCAAATGCGCGGTTGGCTACCAGCTGGAAAAGGGGATATGCAGTCTGGGTAAGAGAAGAATCTACCTTGGAATGTATCCTGCACCACAATGTATTTTTTAAAATAACCTTTATTGTTTTCCTCCCTAAACAATATGGGTATTTGTCCAAGGCATAAACTTAAGGAGTATAGAAAGAAGTGAAATTGCTACCTATTTTTTTTTAAAGATTTTTTTATTTATTTGACAGAAAGATCACAAGTAGGCAGAGAGGCAGGTAGAGAGAGACAGGAGGAGGAGGCAGGCTCCCCGCTGAGCAGAGAGCCCGATGCGGGACTCGATCCCAGGACCCTGAGATCATGACCTGATCCAAAGGCAGAGGCTTTAACCACTGAGCCACCCAGGCGCCCCTGCTACCTATTTTTTAATCACTCAGAGACATAGTGCCTTATTTGCAATCTTTTTTTAGTGTGCCCTGTATTTTTATATAGTTGAAACCATGTGGTATTTGTACAAACTTTATATCTTAAACATTTTTCCATATTACCAAAAATATACCAAGGACTGCATGGACATGCCATTATTGGCTCACAACACTATTTGCCTAACCATTCCACCCTGTAGTTAGGAAAAAATATATATCAAAGGGATTTTCTAAGTACATAGTAATAAAAAAAATTTTTTTAAGGGAGAAAAAAGAGAGAATAAAACCCTGATTATCTTACTGCATTCACACATTCATTTGTGAAAGTGATCTTCACAGGCCTGTCCATAGGCAGATACATTTTTATAAAGCTGCTGTAATTGGACCATTACAGTCTGTCCTATTTCATTTCCTAATTTGATAGTCTTAAAACTGGTTGATTTTGGATATACTCTCCAGTTTACAGGTTAAAAAGCAAACACAAATGAAAACTAAGGTCCTGACAAGGTGCTAAGTGGCCAGGTTTATGCACCTGTTTGCTGAGAGGCTGCATTCCAGCCCACAGCTCTCATCACATAATAATGTGTTCATCAGAAGAGCTTCCTTGCACATAGGGTCTAACCCTGCTTTAGAGTGCTGAGTTCAACATGTAACTTGTTGAAGAAATGAGAAGTGCGGAACGTAGAGTTATCTAAGCGGGATAGGGAAACTGGCAGGTAAAGTGACTCATCTTTGAATCATCTTCAGTTGAACAGTGTGATACTTAACGTGCAAAAAGTGCTCAGTAAATACCTTTTTGAGAGAACAAATGTCTGTGACCTTTGCATGAATGCCTGTTGCCCACGGGCTGAGGGGAATCATCAGATGTTTTAGGAAGGTTGTGTCAGATGACAAAACCCAAATGGTTAGGTAATGAGTTTGATGTCCTTTATTTAAGGGAGAACCACCATGGCCTGGGGGAGTCTGGGGTCTCACAGGCAGTGGAGCTCTCTCCCCCAGAGGGCTTTGGGTAAGGATGAGTCTGTAGAGGGTTAGAAGCTTGGTCACTTCTGAAACAGGGCCTGATTGGCTAGGGTTGCCTATCTGACCTTATTTGGAAGGATCAAGGACAAGGGAGTAAGTACCGGGCCCAGAAGTGACTTGGTGTTGGGGGCTTGGCTGACTGCATCCACGATGTTCTGGTCCCGGGGAACATTTATAGAACTGGAAAGTTATTTCACTGACATGGCACCCTGGGGGAAAGCAGCTTCGTCCTGGGCCTCGAAATTTATTTCAAACACTTGGTACCCTACTAAATCAATGGTAGAATTTTGGAAATGGTGTAAAATACAAGGATCAAGTCAAAGCATTATTAAAGAAAAAACAATCTAGGCCTCTAGACATCTGTTAAAATCAAGAACTCCTCTTTCTCTGTTAGCTAACTTGCTTTTGGGTAACCTATTCCATTTTGCTACACCCTGGTAGAAATAGGCCTGGAGGCTTTGGTTTAAGAATGGAGAAGCTGGGGTGATCTTGTTTTGAACCAGTGTGAAAAGCGCCCCTGCCATTAGCCCCGCTGCCCGGCTTCCAGCTCCAGAGCCACCAGCGATGGCACAGAAGCCCTCAGCCTCGGTGTTCTCATCTGTAAAATCAGATTACCACCTGTTCTGCTTCCCACTCAAGGTTATTGTGAAGATCAGATAAAATAAAGTATCTGAGCCAGCTTGGAAAATGGTAGAGTTCTCCAGATGGGAGGTATCATTTAACATTTAGTCCCCAACCTCTTGGACCAGAATTGAAAGCAATGAAAACACCAGGTACTCTGAATACAAAGTAATCATCATGGATCTTTCAAAAAAAAAAAAAAAAATCATTGATATAAAAAAGAGAGAGAGACAAACCAAGAAACAGACTCTTGACTCTAGAGAACAAGCTGATGATTACCAGAGGGGAGAGGGTAACAGGGATGAGGGAAACGGGATGGGGATGAAGAAGTGCCCTGGTCCTGATGAGCTCCGAGTAATGTACAGAATCGTTCATTTGCCAGAGTGTACATCTGAAACTCATATGACAGTATGTTCCTTCTACTGGAGTTGGAATTTAAAGCTTAATGAAATAAAAAACAAATAATTTAAAATATCATTTCTATCACCGATGTAAATCCACAGTTGAGCATGAAGTAGAAAATTCCCTTTAAGCCAGGTGAGGTAAAGTAGGCACGAAGATGTCCGTGTGCTGGGCAGGGGGTGGTGGCTGGAGGATGGTGTGATGCCGTTTTCACAGCTGCACTGAAAGCAGAGGCCACGTTTACTGTCCTGGTTCAGAAGAGGCCTGTGTACTTAACATTTACAAGATGTGTATTTCCATCCCGGGAGTCTGGGTATCAGCCTGGACCAGGGAGAAGTGTAGATGAAGGAGTGGGGTGGTGGTTCTGGAAGCCTGTGTGCTTAGGGTCCCCCAGGCACCTCAGATCAGGAGGAGGAGAGCCGAGAGAGCCTGTGCTTTTGTGTTAACAATCATCTTTCCCTTTTCAAGTCATTTAGCTTCATTGTTCATAAACATCAGAGGAACATGCAAATTAGAGCACGCTGAAATGCTTTCATTTGGCCAAGAATGTTTTCAAAGAGCTCCCTGCTGCTCAGCAAGAGTCCTGAGCAGCTGGCTTCACTGAACTGTAGAACAAGCAAAAAGATGTTAAATAAGGATTAAGGGCTTTAGACAGTAAGTATAAGATGTTAAATGTGTTCCCTGGCTCATTTGTGGGCCTTTTTCTTAATTCCGCAGGCAAGCTTTCTGTGAAGGAGCAGCCTTATGGGTTCCTGTGCTTTGGGTCTTTTTTCCCCCCCTATCCAGAGGGAAAGATAAGAATTTAATATAAAGGAAGATAAGAGGCAGATATAAAGCAGGCTATACTAATTGTTGGTCGTCTGCCCATTTTTAAGTTCCATTCCCCCTCAGGCCCCATCAGCACAAACTGTTGGTAAATACAAGTTTACTTTATGCGCGAAATGGACCTTGAAAGCAAGGCTGCTTTCTTTCGGGCCTGAACTCAACAATATTTTGAATTTGGGGCATGTGCATTGCCTGGCTTGTGACCGTGGGGCCTGGCAGCCTCCTGAGTGCCGGCGCACCACAGATGTTAGGCACCTTCCTCCATAGCCCCTCAGTTGTCCTGAATCAGTGAGCTGATTTCTGGAAGTGTCTTTCATCAGTGATAAAGTGGGCATTTCCTGTGAGTGAGAGGGTTGGGGGCGATGGGGTGATGCTGACCAGAAGAGGAAACCAAAGCACGCCCTTGAAGCTGAGGGCTTCACAGCATGGGCCTAGAGGACAAGGGTGGTGCTCTGTGGAGAGCTTTCTCAGGCCTGACCCTACATCTCCTCCCCTCCTCCTGGGGTTGTATCATTTAAGCCAGCCGGTCTTTCTTCTTTGTCACATGCTTTACTTAGCATTGGTTATGTAGGCCAATCAGAGACCTATCAGAGAGGTCTCAGGATGGCTCCCCACAGCAGCCCACACAACGTGCAGAAGGCTCCTTGGCATTTCTGACTCAAAGGTTTACTCGGTCCGAGCCTCCTGCCCAGCTCAGTGGACACCCACCTTCCTCGAACAGAGCTAGAAGAGGGAGAGGTGTTCTCTACCCTCAAGGAGAAAGACATGCACCCAGACTGTCTTACAAGGTGCAATAAAGAGGGGCACACCAGAGACTCACAAACACATAGCCACGCGTGGTTGCATGCTCTGACGGGTTGTGTTTTCATTTCCAGTTAGAACCTTCGTGACAGAGTTCAAATTAAAGAAAACATTTCTCAATACCACCATGGAGAAGAAAGCAGACCTACATGAAGTTGAAAATGAGATCACCAAAACAGTAAGTTTTCCAAAAGGCATCTTGCTTCGAGTCCTTTGTTTTCTCCAACAGATTTCATTTGGAATTGGGAACCTCATGGCAATCAGCTGTATCTCCTAGGATATTCATTTCCATTATGTTTGGAAGGTAAACTTCATGGTAAAATTAAAAGCTTCTCAGAAATAGAAGGGAGGTGCTGAGAACCACTGGTGCCCAAGAGAAGCATTTCTTCTGTGTGCCTTCACATGCAGCCTTTATCAGTGCCTTGGCGTTTCTTTTTCATGTGCAGACTCAGAGTCACAGATGGTTAGAAGCCATGCACAGTAAGAACTATTGGCAATGAGGAAAGATCCAGAAAATTCTACTATCCCATCTGCAGCTGACATGCTGTGGGACTTTCTTTCTGTTTCCAAACTTGGGGAGAAGGATGCTCTTTCTCCTTAGGGCAATGCCGAAGGTGTGTCAGTTAATCCTGGTTTTCCAGGGTTGAGAATTCACTGCATAGATTATCTAGGGGTCTTTGATTCCTCTTCTTTCCCTCTTTGCTTCTTTTTGTCAGGGGAAGAAAAAAAAAAGAAAGAAAGAAAGCAAAATGAAAAAGAAGGGAGATGAAAATGAAGCTCAGGTAGTAAATTTTATCTCTTGTCTGCTACCTGAGTCTAAAATTTGGTGTTTAGAACATTGAAAATTGCCATTAAAATAAGTTTTAGACATCGATTAGTTTCTGATTTCAATTTTACTTGCTCTTTATGAGTAAGGGTAAATTAGCCAAAACCTATAGGGTTTTATAGGACTGTAGATTTTATTTGTGTAAAATTTAGATTCCAGTTCCATTTCTGTATCAACGGAGCATCTACTCTACGATGGGCACTTTGCCAGAAGCCTCACTCCTGTAAGAGGTATTGTCAGCCCCTTTACAGCTAGAAGAGCAGGAAGCCCTGAAAGTTAATGACGTTGCCTGAGTTCACACAGAGCACGTGCAATGTTAAGGAATAGTCCGCTAGACCAGCCTCACTTCTGACACCCATTTGCAAGTTTGGGGATCCCCCAGACCACCCTCAGATTTGATAATTCACTGTAAGGACTCATCTTACGGATGCTCTTAAACTCATGGTTGTGGTTTATTACAGTGAAAAGGTCCAGGTCCCAATCAGCCATGGGAGAGACACACAGGGCAGAATCAAGGAGGATTCCAAATTAGGCCCTTTCAGTTTTCTTTTCCCTGTGGAGTCACGTACTGTGTTAACTCCTCTTGGCAATGATGTATACAGTATTCATGGAGTCCTGCTAACCAGCGAAGGTCCCCTGAGCCTTGGTGTCAAGAGCCAATATGTGGACATAGTCAAATGCTCATATGGCTGACTTCAGTCTCCAGTCCTTCTGGAGGTCAGGCTGATACCATGTAACCCAAAGCCCCACAGAAATCATGTTGTTAGATATTTGGAGTAGTCCAGGACCTCTAGGTGGACAAAGTCAGGAGGAGATGACCTCCTGGAAGCCAAGGGCTAGACCTCTCTTTAGGCAAGGTTAAATTCTTTACCATACAGCAGGATATTATGTCTGCTAACCCCTACACCTGGGGTTCTTGTCGCTTCCACACAGTTGCCTTTTGGTTCTGCTGTAGGTCAATATTTCCTTCTGGGGTCGTACAGGGGCTTCGAACCCGTGCAGAGATGCAGTCCTTCCCAGTACATGGCACTCAGTGACTTCCCTGATTTGTTCATTTTCACCCAGTGTTAATGTATAATTTATTAGAATAATGATGATTTAAGAAGAATAGTGATGATTTAAGCAGTGACTAGAGAAGCCATTTAAGTGGCCTTCCCCAAGATGCCATTCTGTTCTGAAATGTGCCTTTTCTCTTTTTCCTTGGGAAAAAAGTTTAAGTCATTATACTATGAATAAATCATTGCCCATTGGAATATAGAGCAATGTCACGCAAAGCCAGAAAAGGTTTGCTAACCTCCTATGTTTGAATCCATCTAATAAGAGTCAGGTGTACCTGACATACAGGCTTTGAAGACAGGCACGTCTGTATAGGTCAAGTTATTATGACTTTCTGCTTCACAGAAAGGATCCCCAGCCCCTACTATTGGGGAGCAGAAAGGCAGGCATGGAACTTTATGCCCTAGAGGGATTTTCTGCTTTCTCTGAGGGTACAAGGCAAACACAGGGAGAGTCACTCTTAATTCGCTCTCAGCAAAGGGGCTCTTGACCCACGTAATGTGATTTCCCGTGGAGATCCTTTTTGAAGAGGACCTATCTTTGAGCTAGGTCAACTCACTGTAGATTATGAGGGGTCTGTGTTGGACCTGCCAGACCTGGGATAGCTGAAGCCTTTTCAATGAGCCTTGTTCACTCTGCAAAGTCCAAATAAACAGTTGCCTCTGAGTTTTTTGAAACCCTGGTCTTAGAAGAGATCTGTTCCTTTGAAGATTTGCATCCAAGGGTGCTGTTCTGAACATCATTTCCTGCCAAGATTTTCCCCACTGATTTACTATCTGCCTCTCTCCCTTTGTACTCAGGGAACAACAGAACAAGAGCAGGGAGGCATTTAAGAAGGGCACAAAAAAAGGACACCACTGCTCTGTAAAGCTGCCTGCTGATAACTTGAGGGCTGGAAAATGCCAGTTTTATCCTGAAAATAGGAAACTCGTTCTAGGTCTAAGGCTTTGATCTAACTCACAGTTAACGACAAACCTATTTTTCCTTTCAGTTAAATATGTGTTTTTCGGCATTACCTGGTTATACCCGATCCACAGTTCATGCTTCTGGGTAAGTAACAGAATTACACTCCCTTGTGAACCAGTCTATATAAAGGGGAGATTATTGTAACATAGGCGACAGCAACAAAACTGGGCCCTGTTTGACCAAGCCACAGAGTGACCTGGGGCCAAGGTAACTGGACCTCCATGCTCTCCCATTCCCTTCCAGGAGAATGGAGATGCATTCATTTTCCAAAAACCCCGGGGCCCACATGGCATTCTAGGATAATTAAAAACTTACCCACTTTGCCAACAGGGAGTCCAATGCCGTGGTCGTGTCCCTGCAAACCACCTTCTCCTTGGCCTCCAACGTGACGCTGTTTGACCTGGCCGATGGGATGCAGAACTGTGCCAACTCCTGTAGGTCTTCTGCTGAGGTCTGCCAGCTCTTGGGATCTCAGAGGCGGATCTTTAAAGGTAAGAGGATGGTCCTCTGGGAGGACCCTGCCCATACGGTTAGGTACAGGGGCACTTGGGGCTCTGGCTCCACATGCTGGTCACAGAGCCAGTCTATGTTTGAAACGGGTGTTCTGCGAGGGGCACCTGGGTGGCTAAGTTGGTTGAACATCTGACTCTTGACCTCAGCTCGAGTCTTGGTCTCAGGGGTATGAGTTCAAGTCCCGTGTTGGGCTCTACGCTGGGGATGGAGCCTACTTGTGTGTCAAGCAAAAGGCCTTCACGTGTCTGTACCTTGGTACACATGTGCATGCACACTCATGCATAGCCTTAAAGTCACCTGGTCTTTGGCACGCTGTCTCCCCTGTTTCTCCTGGACTTTGTTGGTGTGGGAAGAGATGCTTTTGTAATGAAATCAGTCTTCTTGACTTTGAAAAGTTCCAGCTCTCTCTGGGGAGACAAAGTCACACACAGAATATACATGCTTATCAATACCTCATATCTGCATCATGATATTCCATTAAGTAAAAAAAAACAAAACAAAACAAAAAAAACCATGGCCAGTGTTACCCATCTTGTGTTTTTGCAAATGATCAATGCATAGAAACAAGACCAGAACAATATAGGCCAGACCCTACTCATGGGGCCATTCCTAATCCTTTTCTTATTCACTCTTTACCTGTTTTGTCAGAGTTTCTGCAGTACCTCTGTGTCTGATGAAGCAGATTTAAAAGGGGATTATAGACAAGAACTTCATAAGGCAGATTTGGGTCTTAGAAAGGAAGTTTTGCCGCTGGGATGGGAAAACTTCACTAGAATTAAAAAGGGCTTGCTCACCAAGGGGATTTACTCCTGCTGCTGCCTTGTCAGCGATCAGAGTGGTCTCTGGTTAGCAAACTGTGCTACCCAGTCAGGACCTGCGAAGGATGCAGAGTCTGGGAGCCTCCCTGTCGGGTGTCCAGACACCAACGGAAGTTGCTGGGAGCAGGTTTGGTGCTGTATCTGCTGGAAGATCCAGGATGTTCCCAGTGGCCCTGGGCTTTCTGAGTGCTGATCCAGAGGGCTCTCCTCACGGCCCTGTCACAGCAGAGCCTGGGAATTGGGGTTACCCTTGTGCCCGAGCATAGACGCTGGAACTCTAGCTCATTGCAAGGCTGGTTATTCCTTTGGGAGAGAAAAGGAGCTAAGCTTTCTGGAACGGAAGTGGCTGTTATTTAGCATCACTGGGGAATTAACTAAAAAGTTTACGCCCAGTTATACTGTGCTCTCTACTTGGAGGCAAGAGCTCTTTGATTTTACTTTGTTTCTCTTCCAGTGATTCAAAGGTCCCGGTTTTTCCTAGCAAGTAGGAAGGGGACCTTTCAATTCACTGAATACTTAGAGACTACATCCTATGTGGTCAGCATTGTACCGGGTTACTTCTATGTCCCTAGTAAATGCATTTCATGTCTTGCAAATCAAGTGGCCACATACTTGGAGTTGTAAGTACCTGCTCAGAAGTAGCCACGCCCACTCTCTGACCCCATTCTTTCTACTGCTTGGATGTGGCTTATGGGGAAGCTCCTGTCTTCCTTGCTTCCTTGCTGAGGTCGCGTTCTTTGTTTGTTTTGTTTTTTTAAGATTTCCTTTTTTCTCAGAGCACTGTTAGGTTCAGAGCAAAATTAAAGAGGAAGGGCTAGAGTTTTCTCATCTGCTCCCCTGCCCCGACCTATACTGCTCCCATACTGTACCTCCCCTTTCAGAGCTGTTGAAAACAAAGACAGCCATGCATCTCGGCTGAAAACAGGCTGACTTCTCTGTTTTTCCTCCCAGTTCTTCTCCGTACCCAGCTCTGTGTCGTGCTCACCTTTCCGAGTGCAAGAGAGGTAGCTTGGATAAGCAGGGGCTGTCATGTTCTGACATCTGGGTGTTTCCAACATATGGGCCGCACTGGGCTACTCTGGGCTTTCCACTTCCTTACCTTCCAGAGGACCGCAGCTCTCATGCCTCCAGAGGTTGAGAGTCTTTGGAAATCCCCCAAGGAGTGTCACAGCCTTGGATTTACATAAGTTCTCATTGTCTGTCCAGCGGATGTTATGCCCAGGAGCGACCATGGGGCTTGTGGTTGGAGAACACACACATTGTCAGGCTTAAAATGAAAATGGGATTGTACATGGTTGCATTTGATGGATTTATGACAGAATGTTCTTTAAGGATTTTTAGGTTGGCAGTTCCTCTCTTGCAGGGGCAAGGCCAACTTTCTTTGCTTCTGCGCAGGGAAGGGTTGCTTTAGCAGGCGACTGGTATTTGCCAGCAGGCTGGATTCATGGGCAGGGATGGAAGGAAAATGTGACATTGGCTTCCAGAAAATATCTAATCAGGCCAGGCAACTCAGGCTGGCTCCTGGACAAGGCCAGCGCCTGCCTTTTGCCCCAGAAGTATTTCTTTATATTAAGGCTTGAGGACTGGCAAAGCCTTCAAAAGTTTAGAGGAGGGACGGTGGGGGGTTGGAACCTCTGTAGTGCCAACTTCGCAGTGAGCCTGGTGAGGTTTTCCATTTTTCTAATTTTTCTCTCTTAAATACAACCTTTTCACAATAAACAAAGGAAATTCTGTCACACGCGCAAATGGATTTCTGCTTTAGCACGCCAGCTTCCAATGATAAAGACAGGAAATGCAGTGTTGAAAACCAAAGCTGTGTCCTAAACTTACCTCCCTGTGACCAGGCCATCCAGCAGGTCCCCAGCCCTCGGGACTCAGAACAGAAGGCGGATGCGGGGACCCCGTGTGGGTGTCTATTCTCATCACCCATGGTGGGGGCAGCTGTGTCATGATAAGAGCCGATTACTGGTTTTTTAATACATTGATGTCTTCCTTAAGGTGGGAGAGCGGAGACCATGACTCCTGGCACCATATACACACATTGCCCTTCGGTGACATCTCCGGGTTGCAAACTTGCTCTTAACCTCCCAACATCAAGAGCAAATCTCAGCGTCACTCTCCCCTTGCCCCAGCTATGAAGATGTTACTGCTTGTTCTCCAGTTAGTTGCCTAGTTTTGTTCTACTGTGTATTGTTTACATGTGTCGTTTTGTCAGGCCTGTCTCAGATTGTAAACATACCCTCGTTAGGTCTCGTGTGTACAGAGAGGGTCTACTGTATGCAGCCTCAGGGAGGGTCTGCTGTATACAGCCTTAGGGAGGCCACATGCCCAGCAATGAATGCTTTTGGATAAGGAAATACTTCCTTGTCACCCACAACATGGGCACAGCCCACGTGCCCAGAGCTGGACAAGCCAAGTTGATCTCTGTGTAGAAAGTTTCCTTTGGTTATTGTGAAAAGGTTGTATTTAAGAGAGAAAAATTAGAAAAATGGAAAACCTCACCAGGCTCACTGAGAAGCCTGAAAGAGACACTTCTCTGCCCACGCCTGCCCCCGCCCCCTACCCGTGATGACGGCCTGGGGACCGTGGCCCGACAGCCCCTTCGGCATGCATGTGCTAAGCGCTGTGTCTGACCATCTTTGGGCACAGTGATGGAGCCCCCGAGATGGAGAAGCCCCCAGGAAACCTCCAGCGTAGCGGGAGGCAGCCAGGAAACGTAGTGAAGGAGCGCCATGCTAGGACAGTGGAAGACCCGCCCCGCCGGCCCTCGGGATCCATGTGGGGGCGGCAGGCTGCCCTGCCTCGAGAGTGCACGGCCTCCCTTGAGGCCTCAGGGACCCAGAGCAGCCCCAGACACACCCTCCGCTGGAGACAGGTCTGCACCTCCCCGCTTCCTCAGTGGGGCATGGCGACGGTTCCCTGCTTTGTGCTGGCTCCCCGGGGCAGGCCATGGCTGCCGTGGCTGCTGGGATCGGGGTTTCTTCTGTCCCACGGCCTGCCTGGGGAAGGAATGGCAGAAGGGGCTCCAAGGGGGCCTCCAAAAGGAGACTTGCACCAAGCGGGCTTTCCAAGAAACTGTGCTCTGAGCCTCTTTAAATAGAAAGTTCATGCATCTTCGGGTTTGAAGTGGAGGTTTTGTTTTGTGTCACCGTCTTGTTTTTCCATTTCTAGCGGGTAGCTTGTGTAAGCGGAAGACTCCAGAATGTGACAAGGAGACTTCCATCTGCACCGACCTGGACGGCGTCGCCCTGTGCCAGTGCAAGTCGGGCTACTTCCAGTTCAACAAGATGGACCACTCCTGCCGAGGTATCAGCAAGTTCTTGGGGCTTCTGCGGCCCGTCCCAGCACAGGGAAGATGCTTTCCTCTGCCCCTAACTCTCTGCTTGAGGTGTGACTGTTCCAAACTGGGGGTCACTTGTTTTTGTCCTATTGCCCACAGCGGGATTGGACATGTTATCTCTGTAGAACAATAGCATTATCTCTGACGGGTGCACACTGCTCTGGCCAGTCACCCTCAGAGGAAAAGAAGACAGAATGGGAATGCCGATGACAGTGCCTCTTCCCCCCCTACCTCCCCACCCCCCGCTTAGGGGAAGTTAGGAAAATTATTGTTTTAGTTCCCAAAGATTGATTCTATGTCTGCTAATCTTTGAAAATGGAGACCCAAGCCCAGAGTCAGGCCTGTCCCTTTGCGAGGCAGCTGTGGCCTCAGGGACAAAGTCCTGCCAGAACTCAGGAGAGTCGGGAGCTCGGCTCCACCTCACGGACCACGTTTCTTCCTGGGCCAGACACTTTACTGCGCTGAGCCTCAGTTTCCTCTTCTGTGAAATGGGTATAGTGGTGCTCCCTTGGACATTCTAGGAATTGAGGAAAGTCGTGTCTAGGGAGGTGTTTTGTAAACCATCAGCATTGGCCCTTGTTTTTCATCTAGGACTGAGCTGAATTAGTGAGTTCCAGGTTTAAAGTTTTCATGAAAGGTGTGAGGCCAGAAACCTAATTCTGCTAACCTTTTAGGTAAGATTTAAATTCATTCAGTTTGGAATAAAGGGTGCTCTGCAAGGATGGCCAGAAGGCTGCTACCAAGTAAAATTCCTGCCTTAAATTCCCTGCCTTATAAAAAAGACTGCTGGAATGTGTAATCCCAGGAAAAACGAGCAATACCAAGGCTCTCGTGTAGCTGCCAGCCTTGCCTCACATTGGCTTGTCTACAGCACAGGCTTCCTGCTCTGCCAGCACCTGCTGGTGACAGATGTACTGGACCCTGAGTGAAAGTCACATACTAGGGAAAGGCGACACGCCACTTCTTTCTATCAGGACCTTGCAGGAGAGGACTGGCTCTATCAGGAGCAGATAAAAATACATCTCAGGGCGGTACGGTCATCCTGAGCTTCAGACCTTCTGACTCAGGTACATACACAATGGCTTTGAAAGTGCACGCCCTCTGCTCCGCTTGCTGGCCCCGTGCTGGGCTCTGGAGGGGAGGCTGGCCTGTGCACTGGCCAGCAGCCCTGAGGCACGGTGACCCCACAGCGTTGATTGGCACCTTTGATGCAAAGAAGATGACGCTTCCTAGTTCCATCTTCCCTGGTTTAATGCAAAGTATTCCTTGCTCTTGGAGGCCAAGGCATTGAGCCCTGCTTCATGTGGGAAGGTGACCTCTGCTAAATCCATGTGCTGGGGTGCTGGGGAGCTGGAGGGAGGGAAGGCAGGGTGGGGAGAAGTGGGACCTGTGGGAGTGGTGGCCCCAGGACACTGAGTCTCTGGGAGTCTCTGACAGCCTCCAGAATAGCCCTGCCCCCTGCTTTGGTGGCCCCAGCCACGTGCCCGTTTCCAGCGATTTGTTACATGTCCTGCTTGCGGACTAGTAGTAGTGACAGCAGGACTGTGCGAGACTTTCCAAATGCAGTGACACCGTCTCCAGTAACCTTACGTTGATCAAGTAAGGACCCACGGTGCAGCGTGAGGATACCTTGATTGGCTCTCGGGCTTGTTGCCAAGGCCCCGCAAAGCCTTGTTTCTGCGGTATCCTTGTTAGTTAGACTTTTGTCCATGGCCATCAGGCCTTGGCAGCTGCTTCTCCGACCAAGCCCTGTTGGCTGGGTTCTGATGGGTGGCAGTGACATCTTCTGGCCATCGGTGCTGGAGCGCAAGGGAACTTAAAATAAGTCCCATTTTGGACACTTCAGCTCTGAGGTCAGTCCTGTCTCAACGGGAGATAGAGGTATGTGGGTATGTTTTCTAAAGCTGTACGTCAGTGAGCCTGTATTGTTCTCTGTTGTACACATATATGCTCTCCTTAGTGTCACATAAAAGAGCTTCACAGTGGCTTTACCAGACTTGCAAAGCATCCTATAAAATTAAAGTGGGTGCCCTTCCCACTGAGGTCTTAACTTCCTTCCACCATGCAGGCCTCTTTCTCTCCCCAGGCTCCAAATGCCTTGAAAGCCAACCTGTGTCTAGAACATACTTAGCACATTATGGGCTTTACCTGTCAAATTCACACATGGATGCCAGGACAGCAAATATGGTAGGACAACAGTGCAGGTCTTGGGAACAAAAAGAATCTTGAGGACTCCACCACTTAATTGTATCGAAAAGGCCAGAAGACCTCCACTGGCTTGTGTCCCGTGTCCGTAGGCCAAGCCCAGTCTGGACACAAGCACTAGTTGTTACTACACTCATCTTGTCTTCAGTGCCCCCCGGGTCACAGTCCCGCCAGCGTGTGGAGAAGAGGAGCTGGGGCCTGACATTCCCTGGAGCTCTCTGGTGAGCTTTTCCTCCAAGAAGCCTGAGGACAGTGCCAGGCCTGTAGTGGCCCGCTATCTTTGATGAGCTACCGAACGAGCCCATTTGAAGTAAAGAAATATCGTTACGCCAGGAAGTGAGGCCCCTTCTGAGGGCCAGTGAAAACAGCCCACCCATCAGCTCACGGGCGGGATACCAGATGGACATTCCGTCTGGCAGGATGACAGCCACAGGGTGGGATAGCTCCCACCGGGCAGATGAGGGCAGGGTGGGTCAATCTGATGTAAAAACATTTCCAGGAAGAAGTGTTCAGAATAGAACAGACCGGTGTGACATCAGCCTGGCCCTCAGTGCCGAGACGGGCGGCGGTGAGTCACAGGGATGCCAGCAGTGCCTGGGAAGCTGCCTGCAGATGGAGGTGTGGGGCACCCAGGGCTGGCTCCCCAGCTCCCGCAAACGCCTGGAGCATGAGGACAGCCTGGGCACGGTGCTCCCCACATCCAGGAAGCAGGAGTGCTCAGCTGTTTCCTCAGAGGAGCCCCACCTGAGGACGGCCAGCAGTGGACTCAAGCATGTCGAAGATGTGGGAGGGGGCCTCATTCCTCCTTCCCTGCATGGTTGCAAAAAATACAAATACATGGTTACAAAAAAATACATGGTTGCCCTACTTGGTTGCAAAAAATACAGAAAGGCAGGCTACCAGGTCCTGCCTGTTTGCTAAAGGTAGGCCCCTTGGTCCGGTTCTGAGCTTCCTGGATACCGGGGCAAAGAAAGAAATACGGTCTTACGGGGACCATAAAATAAAGTACAGTTGTTCAGAAGCATCCCTATCTTTTTAGGACTCAAGGCTCAAGAGAAATTTCTCTGGGGTGTCCTCACTGAGTGCTTACTGAATGGTATTGTGGCGGGTGGCGTGGTCAGTGGCAACCTGCCCCAGGTCCCGGGGGCTTTCCCAGCACCGCTGCTTGGTGCAAGAGACTGCGGCCCAGGACAAGTGCTTCTGTGGAGTGAGAACAGGGCGGGCCAGGTTTCCAGCTGGAGAGATCTGCCGGAAGGGAATTGCAGACTGTGGAGAGCAGTGTTGTCTGAACTGTTCCAGTCCACTCTAGTGATACGCTGGTAATCTGGGACAACAGAAGAGATGGTGGACACAGGCAGTGTCCAGCATTCACCGTGGAAGAACGAACGGCACTGAGCACATCCACAGCACTTAATGACATCACGCGCTAATCCGCAGGGGAGGCTGTGGCACGTTGGATGGGAGAGCGCCTGTCCCAGCCCGCAGGGTGTGTGCCCCTCGCCCCAACCACGCCTGCTGCCGGCACTCACATCCCACCGTTAGCACGTGCGCTGTCTGTCAGGGGATCGCTGCTCTACGCCCTGGACCTTTTCTTATCTGTGATCTTCAATGCAGTGTACATCGTACATTATTCATGAATCAGATTTCTCTCACTTCCTGCAGCGATGAATTGGACAATGAGGCCATTTTTTATTGTCTGCTTTCATCCAAGCACACATTACAGCTCATGCTGTTCTGTCAGCTTATTACAGTGTTGCAGGTGTTCCGCAATCGGATAAACTGGGGAACTGCTGACTCCCAGCAATGGCTGGGCCACAGCCCTCCGGTCCGTCAGCAGCACCGAACAGAGGGTTCCAAGTTCTTTTCTGGGGTGCTGTGCTGATTAGCACTCCCCCAGATACACCCAGAATCCCCTGCACAGGCTGTAGATAGGGTGAGCATTCGCCCGTGGAAACTGAGGCACCCACTGGGACCATATCCCAGAGGATTTCACAGCTCCCACTTCTTCTTGGAAGGAACTGATGAGGCCAACAGCAGGTTAAAGTTTTGACCTACATTAAAGAAGATAAAGCATTTGTGTATACAGAAGGCTGTTACACAGGGGCCCCAGAGAACTTCCAAAAAGAATTATATTTGTTGGATAATAATTATAACTATAGTCATTTATTTGGTGGTAACTATGTGCCAGGCACTATGCTAAGCCATTTGCATACCTGATTTTACCTAATTCTTTCTAAGGAACTATAGGGTAGATATTACTATTTCTATCATAATCATATATATATATATATATGAAACCAATAGGCACCAACAGGTTGAGAAATTTTTGTGATAAAATTAAGAGTTGAGCTGGGCACCTGGGTGGCTCAGTCAATTAAGCGTCTGCCCTCAGCTCAGGTCCTGATCCCCGGGGTCCTAGGATCAAGCTCTGCATCACATCTCACATCGGGCTCCCTGCTCAGCAGGGAGTCTGCTTCTCCCTCTCCCTCAGCCCCTCCCCCTGCTTGTGTTCTTTCTCTCGTAAATAAATAAAATCTGTAAAAAAATTTTAAGAGTTGAGCTGGCAGGTTATAGATAATTCTAAAGCTATTTGTAGGCTTCTGGTTCTAGAATATTTTTGTGCACTTTAAGATGGCTGGTGTCTAATAACTGCCAGTTTGGGTCAAGGGAGGTCAAAGGGCATATTCCTGGATTTTCCTTTTTCTCTTGCAGCATGTGAAGATGGATATAGGCTTGAAAATGAAACCTGTATGAGGTAGGCTCCATGACCATTTTTTCTGATAAATTTGTTACAAACCAGATCTCGAAGTTACTTGGGTAGATTGCCACAGTTATTTCTTTTGATTTTTGAAACTAATTCTCATTCTTTTTCTTTGTTCACTTGCAGTTGCCCATTTGGGCTTGGTGGTCTCAACTGTGGAAACCGTGAGTATGCAAAGATCTCGAGTTTCAAGGGGGCAGAGTGGGGAGTTTGGGGGAATAGAGGGCTGACATGGTCTCTGTGCACAAGGTCTGAGTCTCTTCCCCTCTCCCTCTCGTCTCAGCTCCAGTGCTGAGGGGTATGGGGAAAGCAGAGCACCCTCCAGGGCCTCCAGGTCTGGCAGGGGAAATGAGTGCATTCCTAAACAGCCCTCACTGTAGAGTGTTAACACAAAAAATTAGGTGAGGGGGGCAGGAAGGGAGGGAGCAGGCCTAGGAGACTAGAAGAGACTCTGGAGCACCTCTTGGAGGGGATGGGATTGGAGGTTTTGGAAGGCTTTGAGTGGCACGAGTGGAGGAGAGGGAGTGGAGGCAGAGGGAACAACTTGAAGGTCTCAGGGCAGCCTGGGCTGGTGCTGTTCCAGGGATGGTGTATGTGGTATGGCCTAGGATGGAAGGAGAAGAAGGCAGAGCGGAGGATTAGTTTGGCAGAGTACGTGCAGACCAAGCTGTTAGCTTGACAGCCAGCCCCGAGACTTGAGACTCTAATCAGAATCCATTGTGGAAGCGGCAAGAGTCCTGGAGCAGGACCGCAGCTGATGGAGAAAATCAGGTCAGGCTGCAGGATGGAGGGCAGATTCAGTTCCTGGAGAAAAGCAGTTGTGACTCATTTCAGATCACTTTCACTGACATCTTCTGGTATCCAGAGCTGAGAAATTAATGAAAGAAATTCTGGGATATAGGATATAATAGGAATAATAACATTCAGTACTTTATTTGAGGAGAGCTTTGACCCTCATTCTATAGATGAGTGTGCCTTAGACGTGACCTCATAACATGTATAGAAGTGCCCAGTTCCTAGTACCCCTGACAGTTTATGTCTTCACTGGTATTTTCTTTGCTCATAAAACTTTCTTGTTAGTAAGTTTCATTACTGTACTTTGAGCGTAAATAAAAAGTAAATAAGATAAAATAACAAAGTAAAAAAATGCAGTACTCAACAGACATAAAACTATTTGGGTGTGCTGGGCATGGAGCCACTTTGAGGCCAGAGTCTGGAGACTTGGAATTACATCCCATCTAGGATTTTTGGTGATTTGGGGCATCGGCTTGAGCCTGACTACAAACTAGCAAGAGGTTACAGTGGACAGCCTAAGAGAAAGATGGGGGGAAACACTTCTAAAAGCAGATATATTTAGAGTCATATAGAACAGAGGGAGGAGCTCAAAGAATTAATGTTTTATTCTTTTTTTTTTTTTTTTTTTTTAAGTAGAAGCTGAGGCCACAGCATGGTAGACAACCCTATCTTATTTAGTAATCCCTGAGGACACCTTGGAGCCATAAAAGCACTTAAGCACAGATATTCATCACGATGGACCCAAGTCATCACACACCAAATGGTGTTCCAGGCTATTGTGAACTGGTTTTTACTCACAAAGCTTCTAACACTAAAGGGGCAGGGGGTGTCCCTCATAGCAGGCGATTTTGACATTTTCCAGAGTGTCAAACACCAGACATTAAGGTCTCAGAGTCCCAGGACTGCCCCGACTTCAGACAGTCCCAAGTCTGGGTCTCTGGTACTTCTGACCAGCCAGCTATAAATCCCAGGTTCCCATGACACCCTCCTCATGTTCAGTAATTTGCTAGAACAGCTTATAGAATTTACAGCTACAGTAGAGTGGACTCACATGTGCAAGAAACTTACTTAATGTTACCAGTTGATTATAAAGGATACAACTCAGGAACAGCCAAATGGAAGACATGCCTGGGTAGGAATGGGGGCAGCTGCTCAGAACTTCCATGCTTTCGCAGGTGCCTCACCTTTCCCGCACCCTTATGTGTTCACCAGTCCAGAATTTCTCTGAACTTCATTGTTTAAGACTTTATTTATTTATTTGTCAGAGAGAGTGAGCACAGGCAGACAGAGTGGCAGGCAGAGGCAGAGGGAGAAGCAGGCTCCCTGCTCAGCAGGGAGCCCGATGTGGGACTTGATCCCAGGACGCTGGGATCATGACCTGAGCCGGAGGCAGCGGCTTAACCAACTGAGCAACCCAGGCGTCCCCATTGTTTAAGATTTATAGGGGGATTCTGTTACATAGTATCAATTGATGAAATTAATGGTCATTGGCCATTGGAAGTCGGAGGTGGGGCTGAAGGTTCCAACCCTCTGATTGGTTCCCCTGGCAACCAGCTCCAGCCCCCCCTTCATTAGCATAAACAGAGGTGTGGTGGAAAGAGGCTTCTTATAAATAACAAAAGGTGTAACTCACACCCCTTTCACTCAGAAATTCCAAGGATTTTAGGAGCTCCTATGCTAAGAACCAGGAGTAAAGACCAAATAGGTATTTCTTATTATATCACAGTATCACAGGTATATACATGGTTTAATAAGAAGAGGAAGTTATGGGCACCTGGGTGGCTCAGTGGGTTAAGCCTGTCTTCCGCTCAAGTCAGGGTCTCAGGGTTCTGGGATCAAGGCCTACACCAGGCCCTCTGCTCAGCAGAGAGCCTGCTTCCCCCTCTCTCTCTGCCTGCCTCTCTGCCTACTTGTGATCTCTCTTTCTCTCTGTCAAATAAAGAAATAAAATCTTAAAATAATAAAAAGAAGAGGAAGTTATCATATGTTAGACTTTTTAAACATTAAAAAGCAGTCAAAATTATCTTTTAATACCAGTGCTTGAGAAGGTAGCCTTCAGGACCTCTCTCTACTTGCTAGGTGGGACTCTGCCTGACTCATGAAACACTTCATAAACTCATTAGAGCCTTAGGAAAAAAAAAAAAAAAGTAGGCTTTAGTTTTTTGTTTTAGTAGAAGTACATTCGGCACACAATGTTACATTAGTGTCAGGTGTACGACATGATGATCGGACAAGGGTATACGTTTTGCTGTGCTCGCCACCTGCATCGCTCCCATCTGTCACCATACAGCATTGTTACGGTTCCATTGGCTCTATTCCCTATGCTGGACCTTTTATTCCTGTGACTTACTCATCCCATAACTGGAGGCCTCAGGATTTTTTTTTTATTTTTTTTTTAGATTTGGCTCATATAAAACCCTATGGATAGCAGTGTATGTCCTTTTCTAAAAAGTCACTAGACAAGCTTTCTCATCTGGGTCCGGGATCTTTATGCCTATGTTCAGGAAGGTATCTGTGCTTTCCAAGGGCTGCCTGGGATATGGAATTATCTTGTTCACTTTCTCATGTGAATCTCCTCCTTTAAAACCAGAACCGAGCCGTAGAGCACTCTGAAACTGATCACAGAATAGAGTAGCCTGCACACAAAAATAGAAGAAGGCCTAGAACTTTCAATGCAGAAAGAGGAGGCTGAATAGTCAGGCACAATGTTTAAGCTGTCTGAGACCTGTTCACCAAATGCTAGAATACTACAACTCAATGGCTGAGTTTTTTAGAAGAGGTTTTCAAGCTAACAGGTACTGATTGCACCACAAGCCTGTGGATCTAACTCTGAGAGGTTCCTAAGTATTAGAAACAGAGAGGCTTTGGGACACCTGGGTGGCCCAGTCCCTTAAGCGTCTCCCTTTGGCTCGGCTTATGATCCCAGAGTCCTGGGATTGGGTCCCACATCCGGCTCCCCACTCAGTAAGGAGCCTGCTTCTCCCTCTGCCTGCTGTCCCCCTTGCTTGTGTGCTGTCTCTCTTTCTCTGACAAATACATAAATAAAGTCTTTCAAAAAAAGAAAAACAGAAACAGAGAGGCTTAGATAATGTCACAGAGGATGGCTTAAGAATAATTTGAGGAGGAGTGCCTGGGTGGCCCATTTGGTTAAGCGTCTGCCTTCCGCTGGGGTCATGATCCCAGGGTCCTGGGGTTGAGTCCCTTATCAGGGTCCCTGCTTAGCGGGAAGCCTGCTTCTCCCTCTGCCTCTCCCCCTGCTTGTGCTCACTCCCGATCACTCTCTCTCTCTCAAGTAAATAAATACTTTGGAACAAAAGAGTATTTTGAGGGAGGCACAGAGGAAGAATCAAGGTGCAGTAGAGTTGTATCACATGTACAAGAACTAGACTAGAACAACCCATCAGAACGCAGAGAAGAGAGAGTGAGGGAAGCAGATGATTAGTATCACTCTAGGGTTGAACCAGGGAGCAGGAGGTAGGAGACGCCATCTGCCAAGTCCTCCTGGCGCCTCCCGGTCCTGACAGGCCTCTCGTGAGGCCTCCTTTTCAAACCTCCTTTTGTCGAACAGCTCTCTAAATAGGCTTTACCAGGAAAGGCTTCGATTTCTCAGTGAACGGAAGAGTGATCCAAGGAGGGAGAACGGATCTAGGGGAAAGCCCCATAAAGGGTTGAGGGGAAAGGGGAGAGAACTGCCAGCATTGCTTTAAGAGGCATTTAGTGATATTTTTTTTCAGAGTTCATTAAATACTATATATGTCTGGAGATGATATACCCCTACATTCATTGACCCTTCTGCAAGTTCCTGTGTCCCCCTGTTATGTTTGTGGGGTCTTGGCCATAGCCAGGATTTCTCTCTGATTCTGAGACTTTTTCTTCCCCTTTCATCCACGTTGTCATCATTATGACCAGCAGAGGGCAGGCTTCTGTCTGGATGGCTCTCTCCCAGCCACGCTGTGTTGGTGACTTTGGTTAACACCTTGATGGTGTGGGGCTATCACTGTGTGATTTTGCTATCTGTCTTACTATTGATTAGCAATGAACAGTGACTGATAGTAAACAGCACCTGCCCCCACCCTTGTCTGAGCTCTCAGATCATCCTTCGGTGTTGTTTAAGGAATGGGGAACTCCTGATTCACCCCCTCTGTGATGATGGCACCTTGAGGAATCTGTGATTTGTCACTCAGTGTTTTGTGTCCAATAACAGGGCCCTGACCACTCACAGTGTCACTTCTGTCGTGGCCATCAAAGACAGTGAGGGCCTTCTTGGGACTACAAGAAGCCCCAAGAGGGGCTTCCTTAAGCTGGAAACTTTACCGGCAAGAAATGCTTCTTCTCCGTGCAGACATCTTGGGGCACAGGCCCTACCCAA